AATGAAAAATTCTCATCTATATCAATGAATATTTACTCTCGGTACATTTCTAATCAGAACCATAACCGAGACCGAGAGTCTCGTCCGAGACTACCGAGACCGAGACTGAACGAGACCGAGACTAGCCGAGACCGAGACTGACCGAGACCGAGACTAACCGAGACCGAGACGGCTCGGACCGAAAGTCTCGGTTCAGTCTCGGTCTCGGTACATCCCTAACTACCAAACATTTTGATTATTTATCCTTTTATCGATTTCGCATAGTAAAATCATAGGAGCTTATTGTACACACAGTAGAAATACTATACTCGAGGATGAGAGTGATAGGCAGTGCAATATGAGCACACAGATAGAAAGATATAGTAATAAACCCAGGCGAAAAAATCTTATGAAGATCGTATAAGGCCTTATAAGATCTTACTCACAAGTAACGCAGCGCAAACGCTGCTAACCCGCTACTGAAAGGATGGGTTGCACTGAAGATAGGATATTAGAAGTATTAGATATGGAAAACGATTCGTTGGTAGCACGTTAAGGAGCGGAATGAAACGAACCATTATTCTTCAAGAGTTGAAAATGTAGATTCCTATATTCGATAATCCCTACGGGAATTGCATATTCTGAGCATGTTAAAAATATGCTTTATATCCACATGATGTCATCAACATTCTCCGTACTCGCTTTGCCCAGCTAAATATTCTTATAGCATTATCTATAGTCTGATCAAAGTATTAGTATCGTGTTCCCAAGTTTCAAAATATCTGAAATTTGAAACCAAGCGATTGAAAGTGACAACAAGTCCTATATTAATGCCTGAAAATGACAATATGCCGGTAACAAGATGAGTATCAAGATTCCTGGCTTTTATCAAAGCCATTTTTGTTACTTTTATTTTATAAAAAAGCTTGTTAGCGCAGCTCCTTTGTGGCTGAAATATAGAACTCATATATACTATCTAGCCTAATTAAACTAATACATAACATATAAAGTGATAAATCTCTCGTAGATTATAGGTGCTTGCAGGATAATTGATATTCAGAGTAATGACTTCTCTGATTTCTGCATTTCGAAAAGAATTTTCATTTTTTAAAATTCTTTTTTTCTTAATTTAACATTCTTATTATTATAATCATTGAATTAATTGACAAATATGTCTGTTTTACATGTTCATGATATCTACAGCAGATCTCAAGCACTATTATTTATATTAATCAACTCACAAATAGTAATATTCGTTATTTTTCAAAATTATAACTTGATCAACTTTGCAACAAAATCTAAAAAATGTGACGCCTGCTATTCTTCATTGCTATGGTCTGTAACGGAGAGGGGTTTAGCAAGAGTGGGAGCCACGAAAACTCGCTCTTAAAATTACACTCACCATTTTCTTCGAAAAAAATGTGAGTTCCACAAAACTAACTCAGCAGTCAATATATTCACTACAGTAGTATAGTTTTTCTCTCTCGAGCCATTTAAAGTAAACAAATATATCGTTCACTTTTTATTTTTTATCTCTCTTATGTTCTTTCTTGAACGAAGCAGCATCAATATGGCTCTTCTCTTAACTCTTACTCACACTCACATTCCACCCAATAAATCTAGATCAGCAACAAAAACCTGCTAGCGTCAATGATGATACACTGCGATGCTAAACCAAGATTAAGACACGCTTTCTGGTTTAATTGGCTTAGCACATTTGCCCCGATAGCAGAAGATGTGGGCTCGAGTCCCACGAAGATTGTCTTTTTCTTCATTCTCTTCGTTCACTGCATTTCCAATCGTATAAATCATATATGATGCTTACAAAACCGTGTCGCTATTCGACTGCGTACAGTAGAGAAACAATATGAGCGGTTCTGTTCCACTACGAACTTGATAACCTACGAAGGTAAAGACTTTATGAGTTCAAAATTCCCGCTTTCATAATTCCATAACTTGACTATATATGATCCGAATTCGATTGAAACTAAAACAATTTTATTGTGAGTATCGATGTACGATAAAGTCCCTGAATCACATAGTGTTAGTTATGACTCGCTGAAGGGCATACAAATGAACTCCACAGATGCTCGAAAACTTTGATCGATAGTTATTGATGCCTGTCTAAAATTCTCAGGGGTACATCTCTTACTATATACAAATAAAGATATACAGAATATGAAAATATTGTAATAGATATGGATATCTGAATACGCAGCATATTGGCTTCATATTTCTGATAAATTACTAGTATTGATTCGAGTACTGTTACTCTGAAATAGAACAATAAAAACAAAAATTCTCGTTACAAGTATATCATGGAAAGCAAGATTGAAACTTAAATATAGAGTATATTTCAATTTGAACGCAATTTTTCGTTCTTTTAAATATTTAAAAACCATGTTAAAATAAAGTTTAGCTTCTATAGAATAATCAACTGATATTCGTCTATCTATTCAAAAACTATGAGAAGTTTTTGACAACTTTGTAGATTTGGATGAGTAGTTGAAAAAGAGATATCAAGTCTCGTTCTCATCAGGTGTGGCTGTGGCTATGATGATCTGGGTGCTCGTGTATGTTGAGTCAAGACTAGCATCCACACCTATGGTTGTACTTTTGGATGTCTGAGTGTGACTGTGGGATCGGTGCCGAGTTGCGATTACGAGTCTTCCCTTCACAGTCATCAACACTGGAGCCGTCACTCCTACGCCTACATACATCCAGATGCTCCTGATACACAGATTCTTGATTTCCTCTTTTCTGATTGATTCCTTACCTGTTGTTGCGCTTTAGACTTGAGTGCGTATAGCCGTTGAAATGAAATGTTATAAAAGTGAAAAATCGCCGAAAATGCAACAGAAATCGTCTCCTCATATAGATTACCTTATCATTGAAGAGGCGAGCTTAAAGAAAACAACGATAAAATTTATCACAGACGAAAGAGATATGGCAATAAAATGTTATTATCTTATCTTTACAGTTAGGCTTTTTTTGCAGATGTTTTTGCAGTTAAAGAAAAGGTATGTTTAATCAGCAAAGCTTAAAACACACTGAGAAAAAATCAAAAACAATAGATCCTCTGGAAATTCGACGACTGGCTTCAAGAGTTACCTGGTTTTCTTTTCTGGGTGTCGGTGCGAGTGTATAGCGTGTGGCGAATGTGAATTTGGCTGTATGGGATGTGGTGGGTGTGGATTTGACTGTGACTACGGGGTGTAGAGTGGTTGTGAATATAGAGTGTGAGTGTGGATGTAGAAATATGAGTGGATCAGTTGTTTAGGCACACCTAGATCCACTAAGGGTGTGGGTGTGGGTGGGTGTGGGGTGTGGAGTGTGGGGTGTGGGTGTGTGAGTGTGGGTGGGTATGGGTGTGGGTGTGGGTGTGCGTGTGGAGAATGAAGAACCCTATATTCACACCTACACCCCACCCAAACCCCAACAAACTTAACACATGATCAAATCAAAGTAAGATTGGACAATGCTCATAGAAAAGATCCCAATATTCGTATTTCTTATTCTATTCAATCTACTATCGACTTTCTTGATGTTACCGTCAACAATGAACATGGTCACTTGAAAACTTCTATCTTTCATAAATCAGTAGCTGAACCTTATGTACTACCTTATACTTCGGATCATCCTCGACATGTTTTTCGTAATATACCGTATGCTGCTTTATTAAGAGCTGCACGAATCTGCTCAAATGTAGAAGATTTTGATATGGAACGTATTCGTATCGATTTATCATTATTACTAAATGAATATCCACCTTCATTTATATCCAAACATTTTCATCGATTCTTCGAAATCAATCAGACTATGGCAGTATTTGAAAGACTCGACTCGCAAGTATACTACCAATTACACCAACAATTACTTCATAAGCCCACAAGAAGAGAACAGCAACTGCAACAAGCAACAGGAGACATTGATGTTTTACCTGAAGTATTACAAAGAAAGACACCTTGGGATTTCAATGTCATGTATGCCAAATATAACTTCGAAAGTGGGCCAAGATTAACTTTTCAACGTGATTTCCGCACATGGTGGAAAAAGCATTTTGCATATAAAGGATCTAATGTGGAACACGTTCAACTAAAATTTGCCGTCAAAATCAACCGTACTTTAGAAGATATGTTTGTGCACAAGAAACCACCACTGTCAATGCTAAAACGCAAGCCTACTAATATCTTACAACAAGCTACCAATGTACATATACATTTATAAAGAATCTTAAATTTTATTTATTTCACTTTAGAACGAAGATTCAATATAAAAAATGAACATTTCATTTAAATCAGGTTATCATAAGTAGTTGTTATTTTATTGTATCAAATATTTTATTTTTTATTTTTTCTTGCTATGATATATAATAAGGAAAACATAAGCGCTTATGATAGTTTTTTGTTTTAAGTCTCTTCATAATTTTAGATAGTTGAATATCAATCGAAAGTATTCTTTAATGCAAAATTAATGACTGATCCAGATCGAAATGTAAGTTTAACTCTGAAAAAAAATGAACGACATTTACTCGATATTAATAACAACTATCCATTATAGATTGAAAGAGATATCAATCGATTTGATGATGATATTGATGAGGAAGAAGATACAAACATTGATTTTGATAATCTTTATATGAATATTGGCAAAGATAATAATAATGATGTAATTGAAATTGAGCAATTATATGATGATAAGAATAATTTAATTGATTCCGTGCTCAAAGAAGAAAATTTATCTCAAAAATTAAATCAATTATCAGCTACTGATAAAGAGCAAGAGGATAGCGATAAATCTAAACCATCAACTGTCAAGAAACGACCAACTTTAACACCAAGTACAACAACAGATAACATATCGGAAAAAATGAAACCCGATAAAGAAGAATCAACTAGAAATCAAATACCAAGATATTTATCAAGTCATAATAAAGCTTTTGAACAAATGATCAATCCTATCCTTGAAAAAACGACAACAACTTCTATCAATATTGAATATTTACGAGAGATTGCTATTCTTATTCATCAACTTGAATGCATTGATCTTGATATATTACTATGGACTACATATTTACGGTCTGGGACAAGTACATTAAAGCCACAAGCAACAACATCGACACTCTTATTATGGCCTTTAGAAGTTAAACAGAGAATGATTGATCGTGGTCAAACAACTGCATCTGATCCAAATGAAATAGATCATGCTTCTTGTTTGAATTATGTTCAGAGAGTACTACAAAAATTTCGAAACCAAACTGAACATTATCAAGCTCAATTGAAAGAAAGAAAAAAACGTTTAAACAATTGTTGGACATGTGAAATCGGAGAAGCTACTACTAAATTTGTTCAACAACATGTCACACCTATATATAAAGTACCTACAGAAGAACAAATTGCTATCGTTCAATATGATTATAATGATCGATTGATTCAATTAGAATATTATCAACAAAATCCAAATGAATATCAAAAACAAATATTTGAAAATCTTACTCAAGCCAAATATGAAAAAGAAACATCTAAATTTGATGTAGCAATATTAAAACAACGTATTGTTTATAATCATTTACCACAATCATTTGAATCACTTAAAATACCTCCACCCATATCATTCGATACAATTACTGATACGATGACTCGTCAACGTTTAAAGGATCGATGTGAGAAAATTTTACAACGAACGAAATTCGAAATGATGATGATTTATATTACAACAGCCGAAGCAAAAATGAATGAATATGAAAAGAAATTCGATACAGACTTGGCTAAAATGAAAGAAAATCAATGTTCTGGTCCATCACATAAAAAATTAACTCAAACAATGTTGAATATTATGGAACGACGTTTTCAGAATATAAATGAACGTCTTACATGTCTTTACAAATTAAAACTACGTTTTTTCGTCAAAGCTCCGACGGTCAAGAATTAGATTGGATCGATCGTCGGAGCATTCCCATCCAAAAATCAAATATCACTTGTTCACCATCAATAGTTCAAGACACATCACATCATCTATCACAGGAACAAGTTACATTTCTTAATCGTGGACCAACCTATGTTCCACCATGTCAAATACATATTTTATCAAAATCTTTTTTAATACTGGCTCAAATCGTTACGAAACAAATGGCACCACTTCAACGAGAACTTGCAAAACTTTTCATCAAATATCCAATCGATCTCTCTCGTCAAATGCATTTTGAAAACGCGATTGAACAATTATTCAATGAATCATTTCTTCAACCTATGCCTTCTGTACTTGAAGAGCGTGCACTCTATGAAAAACAACTCATTCTATCAATTAGATATCAATTAAATAAAGATCAATTGATTCTACGGCGAACTGCTGATGAAATGAATACATATTATCTTGGTCGATTGAATGAATTTAATCAAAAATCGAATGAATATATTCAGAATTCAACTTGTTACGAACTGATTGAAACAATTAATGAAATCAATACAGAACAACAACAATTAGAAGGAATTATTCAATCTATTGATTTACAACTGGAAATATTATATCAAAGAAAATTGATTAAAGAAGATCATTTAATCAGATTAAATATTGGCAAAAAAACAAATATCAATCTTCCATATCTTTATTTCTTACCAGAAACGAATGAAAATGTTCATATGTCAGTACAACCACGACTATCGTCATGTCAGCATGGTCCAATATATACTCTAGCTACTTATCTTAATCAACTTCTTCGACCATTATTTGATAATTTTTCACGATCAACAACATTTCTTAATGGTGGTGATTTTATACAAAAACTACAATATTATTGTATACAACTAGATCTTCTTCTACCGAAAACATATTTTGCAACATTTAAAATTCATGATTTATATATGAAAATATCACATTCGGCTCTTCTTGAAGCATTAAATATATTTCTAGTGAATCCACTTGTCAATGGTCAACATCAAAAATTATCAAGTGATGCTGTTCAAGAATTAACTGCAATAGTCTTACGAAATAATGTTTTCTCTTACAATGGAAAAATCTATCGATTTATTCAAGGAGGTCCATTAAATTTACCATTAATAGAATTATTATGTCATATTTATATGCATCATTGGCAATATTCATTAGTTACACATATTTGTTTGAAAGATGCATTCTATGGTCGATATAAAGATACAGATTTTTTAACATGGAATGGTCCGATTGATCAATTGCAAACATTATTCTATAAACTTGAACAAGAACTAGATTCGAATCTTCAAATGACAACAATTATTAGTAGTGATGTTCATTTTCTTCATGCTGCTATTGAAAATCGAAAAGGATCTTTACATACTCATGTGCATCATGATTCAATAATTCAACCATTTTTATTACCTTATGAGCATAGTCATCCACGATTATTTCATCGACAATGGTTTCGAGCTGCTCTTATACGTGCTGGTCAATATTGTAGTTCGTTCGAAGATTTTGAAGACGAACGACTTTATATTGAACTAACATTTCTGGCTAATGAGTATTCATTAGATTTTATCAAGTATCATATCAAACGATTCTTGACAAGATTTAATCCAAATGAACAAAAACCAATGAATTTGAACCGATCTACATATCTTTCATTTCGTAATGAATTATTTCATTGTATCGATCAACAAAAACGTGATCTATTCGAAGAACAACAACTACAAAAGAGTCATCAATTAATTCAATTACATTATCTTTTCGATTGGGGTTCAAGATGTCAATTCAATCAAAAGTTTTATCAATATTGGTCTACAATTCTCGAGCAAGATCCAGAGTTCAAAAAATATAGATTGAAAATCAAACTTAATACTAAACGTTGTTATTCATCGAATACTCTCTTGACTCGATCGAATAATACATATCAATGAAGTGAGAGTAGTCAGTTTCAAATATTTCTATACATTTAGATATTTTGAATACTTGATTTTTAGCCATCTATTGCAATTTATACATGTCATTTTATTCTTCTTTTTTTTTCTGCATGTGTCTTAGTTTTATGTTCTTAGTATAGTTAAACATTTTTGTCAATAATATATTACTATAAAATTTTAATACATTCTGAACTATCACTCCTATTGTCTTACTCACTTTGAAAAATTCGCTATTATGATCATTAAAATGATTGTTTTTTTGTTGTTGTATTTCTTCTAGTTGCTTTTTTCTTTAGATAGTGTGAGAAAAATGTTGTTTTCTATCTCATATATTCACTATGTTTCTTACTTTATATAGTAATGTACTAGAAATTGTTCGCTCTACATATTTTGTATTAGTTTAGCGAGACTAGAAAACATACTTAAGTTTCACATCTCAGCTTCATTGAGGCTTCGCTAATAAGCTTTTGTCTTCTAGATAGAAATATTGATAATATAGACTGTAATAAGGGTTCAATCAAAATGTCAGGTTCAAATGTTCAAGCTGGTTGGTATGAACCACCTTCACAAACACAAATATTAATTGGACAAAAACAAAACTTTGAGAATAACAAGAAGGAACTAAAGAAGAAGAAAAAGTCCGGTGGTAATCGGCGACTCTAACGCTATAGAAGAGAATGTCGAGCACGAGGAACGAACGATCAAACCGTAAAAATGTTATTGACAATGCGTCAAATCAATAATTCCATTTATCAAACTCATCGGAAAACAGAACACGATAAAATGATGGATGATTATTTTGTCAGGAATGCCAATAAGGATATTCAAGTGTCCATCTTCTATGGAAACCAAGTACGATCAAATGATGAATAAAAAACAAATACGATGTTTTTCTTTTGTATAGAACCAAGGCAATAATTCATCACCTTCAAGAACACATCAAAAAATGAAAAACCATTACGATTTACCTACAGATGATTGGAAACTGACATGCAAACTCTTACCAAATTATAAGACCTTGTCTTCTCATGAATTCAAACGTTTACTCTGCAAAACTATTCCAACGGATCATTATCAGATTCAACAATGGTTAGCAAATACTGAAATGTTACAATTCTCACAACAACTTGCTACAATCATGTGTACTTCCTTTCAATTGAAAATTGAAGAGGACTATTGGTACTACATTGGCAATATAAACATGCCTGTTGTAACTTGGTTATCAGAAGTATCGAAAGATGTAACAGAAAAAAATTCCGTTAATTGGGATCATTCGAAAACAAAACTAAATATTCAATATCAACAAAATCTCATTCGAAATAAATTACAACGACTAGAAATTAATTTATACAATTATTTACAACGATATTCATCAAACTTAAAAATGAACGATGATAAAATGTCTTTTGAACAATGGATGAATAGTATATGCAATGCTCTTGTTGTACTCATACAAAATAATTTGCATCATTTCAATACAAATTTTGAACAGAAGAAAATCTTATTTACGTATGATATCCATGATGTACATCTTGTCAAATCATTCTATGATTTAAATCCAATAGGAGAACAGGTAAAGATTTTATTTAGTCTAACTTTCTCTTATTCTTCTTCTCATAGGTTTATTCTGCTCAACAAATTTGGCGATCAAAATTAAGAGCATGTGAGAAGGTTATTAGTCAACAAAAGAAACGTTGGTCAAGGAGTAATCAAGTTATGGTTAAAGGAATAATTCCAGGTAATCATTCAATAACAAATATGAAACAAAATGAATTCGACAATGATGGTAGTGATCAAAAGAATCAATTATTATATATGAAATGCTTTTCTCCTTCAATGCATGCTATTATTCAAGCTCGTCTCGATAATATCGAACAAAGTGCTCAACAAATTATAAAATTTATTCATGCTTCGTCTCAAGAATAACGATCTATTGCTTATTATAGATTTTACTGAATCTAGCATTCTCGATTGTTCATTTTAAGCAATATTGTAGAATGTAGTTCTATTGTAACATTTCATTCATTTCTTTTTTTGTGTCATGTTTCATAGTTTGTTTTTCGAGTAGTAAACAAATTTATCTTCTGATGTTTTGCTTTTCTTTTTTCTTCTAGATCTCACTTTCAGAATTCTATCTTTGTTATGTTGTATCCCATTCAATTTCAAATGGCAATGACAATATCAAATCTCAATTCTACTAAAACTATTACCCGTCGTAGTACAGTTTCTGACGCAAAAGTAAGACAGAAGAATAACAAAGATCTTTCTATTCTATGAACAATGATTTTCTTCTTAGATAGTCAATGAACAAGTGCTATCGAAAGAGCTTGGCCAATTTTCACCTTTTAAAATCAATTCAACAAAAAAACAAATAACAAAATTTCCTATAGAAATCATTCTTTCGAAAACAATTGGTAGTGAATGGCAATCTATACCCGACTATCTTTGTTCAAAAAATCCATCTTTTGAAAAGAAACTTCGAACCATTTTACCATCAACGATGAATTTAGATGAAATAAGAGATATTGCTATTCGTATGCATAAAATTATGTCGATTGACATAGTACAATCTCTCTGGATAGTCTATCGAAAATATGGTATAGAAGAAATACAATCCAAGCGACCAATCAATGTATCTGATACGAAATTTTGGCCAAAAGAAGTTTTATCACTCATGAAACAGTTAAAAAATGATAATATTATCGATGAAAGTAGTTGTTTAATTTTTGCTAATCAATGTTTACAAGAATTGTACAATAAAAAGGAACATTATCGACGCGAATTAAATGTCAAGACCACTCGTTTATCTGGTTATAACCGTAGCATGGAATATACCATTGAAAAATTTGTATAACAAGGACTTCAATCTTTACACATTGAAATCAATGAACATATTGCCACGGTTCAATAACATTATACCAATATAATATTTCAACAAACTTATTTTGCTCAAAATCCTAATACAAATCAAGTAAACTTCTTTTATATCGAGCTTATTTTATCTTACTATTTTAGATAGAATCTTCGCTCTTAATCATATAAAAAAAGAAATTAGATAGGAAAAACAAAAACTTTTTTTCATTCATATCCTTCTCTCTTTCAGATAGAATCTTGACGCAAAAAACAAAAATATAATCAGTATAAAATACGAAAGAATAGCAAAAATTCAAAATATTTTCTACTGCATATGGATTTCAATACAATTGATTTAACTCGAGCAGAACAAGCTACTTCTTTCTTAATTAATAATGAACAACAAGAATATCAATCAAGAACATTATTAGATAAAAATAATGGACGATATGCTTATTTACCTATATTTCCAACAGAATATGTTGGTCCAAATGAGTGTTTACTTTTAGCTAATGTACCAGGTTCGTATGTTCGATATAAATTGATTATAAATCATTTCATTTCGTTATCTTTTAGTTAGTCGTCTTGCACCTCATCAAATTAATCGACGTCAATATGGAGCCTATACTTTCGATGCACTGATGCTGATGAATAAGTACACTTATTCTGATGAATTTAGTTTATCTGAACACGATGCTATTGAATTAGCTTCACGATTACAAGTAGGCAAATCAATAATTACTTTCAATGCACAACGACTTCGTAACATCTGTTATACTCTTCTTGCATTTCATGAATCATTTCGACGATATGTTCTATGTAAGAGTGATGTTGCTCTAAAAGAACCAACACTCAATTCGAAACAAATGGCTATGGCATTGAAATTCTATTTACAAATCGATGGTTAGTCTTCATGTCGATATATATGATGCATATATATTTCATATTTTTTAGTGGATTTATTCTATATGAAAACTTGTTCGTTTCGAGGAGCTCAACCTCCATCTAATATAGAAGGTCTATTTTGTGGAAGAGATGAACCTCAAGCAAGATATTCATTGGTTCCATGTGATAATCTTTTTTGTCAATGTTGTCTTCCATTAAATACTTACAAGAAAAGTCAACCATGGCCAATTGTTAATTTTACTTCAAGTTCAATACATCGATTTCTCAATGGTTATACTACCTATCTCAATTGTCCAGCAGTATGTTGTTGTCCTTAAATATTGAATTTTATATCGATCAGCTATGACTAAAATTTAGACATGTACTACATTGAATATAACTTATGCCATGACATGTCCATGTAGTCATTATGATTATGTTGATTCAACAGCAAAAACATTGGCTGATGCTATGGCTTGTAAATATAAATTTTCTTACGATAATCATGAGCATGCCTTTATTTCTCTTCTTCTTTTTCTTATAATATTACAGATCATCGAGAACATGGCAATCGAATTATACATGAAAAATTAACTGGTAGTCCTCTATTTCGAGGATCACAAATCGATCCTAATGAAAGAGAGTAATAAAAGACATTCGATCATTCTTTCAATTATGCTACATATTCATTGTTTTCTTTTTCATTGTTGTAGAAAAGAAATGGCTAATCAAATGCGTCTCTATCAACATTCAGCTCGTTGTCCAGAAGCACTTCGTTCATTTCTTGATTGTAATCCTATGTATTGGTGTTTTATTCCTCTACTTTGGGATGAAGCAGCAACAGAAAATGTTGCTAATCGTCCAGGAAATTCTACTACAGATCCCAATCTGGATGCTGTGATAGCAACTACTGCCGTAGACAATCGTAGGGTGGCCAATTATCTAGATAATGTACCATTACCATCAACTTCCTATGCCTTCTCATTTCGACAGCTAAAACAACAGCGTCTATTTTTCGAACAATTTGCTACGTCTTCCATTCATTACCGGCCTTATATCAAATTAGATTTGTATAACATAGCAATTATTGCCGTTTGTAAGTAAATCTATCTTTATCAACCACATCATCATCATCATTATCATTTATACCTGTTTTTCTTTCACATTGATTTAGTACCAGATGATTGTTCAATAATATTACGATACATCATCGAAACATTATTTATTATTCATGGTGAAACTAAATTGAATATGATTTGTCCACTTGGTGGTGATGCTGAAAAACGTTACGGTCCTTCGTATAACCTACATTGGTGTGCTAATTTGAATAATTCATCAATGTAAACCACGACATCAACTCAGTGACCTTTTAAAACTACAATGGTCACTATTATAAAATAACATTTAATTAATATAAGCAACTGTATATACCTCGTAGATATTAGTTAACTTTTAGTGTTTGTAATCTGTGTGCGAAATAGTTAACCTTAGATTAATAAAATATGTTTGTGCACTTTTTCTAATATCACATTCATACAAACTTTGATTCTAGATAATTATAATCCTGGATGCACACTTACTAGTTTCCTGCTTAACTGAACAAACCAAAGACATTCTCGTCAAAAATCCAGCCAGAACACTGCCAAACACACGACAAATCAGCCTATGTTCGCTCAACATCTGTATAGATTATTAGGCAACGGCTTGATTGAAACTAAACATCAATCGATACTCCAAAAAACTAACTACGCTCGCTCTCCATTAGCTATCAGACCTGCGACAAAACCACAACAGAAACATTATCACTAAAACACAAATAAAAAACAACAACACTTTCGGATAAAATTACCCATCCATTCCAAAACCATCTCACAAATTTCAAACACTCACCAGATTATACATAACAAAACGCTAAAATTACAAGCACTAACAAACCATTTAACATATATATTCATGGTAATTTAGTGAAAGTTATTCTTAGCTTTCATTAAACTGTCTCGAACTTGTGGGTAGAATTGAATTGCAGCATTTTAAAATTGAATAGCCGAACTTACCTGATGAAGACCCTTAAGCAAGGTCGAAACCGGTCGTAAGCTTAGCTTGTGCTATTAAATGAAATTCTTTTGTATATAAACACCCACATCCACCCATCCTATGGATATAGAAACAAGTTCTGATCCAACATTATTATTACCGGATTATTCAACAATATCGGATAGCAACTTTACACAAATGTTATTAACGTTAATGCCAAATATTATGAATCAAAATGAATTTATGGAATTATTGAACCACAAAGAAATATTAATATTTATTCGTGAACTTACAAAATTGGTCAATAGATTCAATTATTCTCAATTACAACATGAACAATGGTCTTACTATTATAATCTTGGCATGACCGAAGGTATTTGGAATGGCCGAGTATCAAAAAAAATGGCTGATGCAAATTCAATGTGTTACACATATGGCCGATCGAAAAATTTAATCAAACAACGTCTTGATAAATATAAACTACAATATAAAAAAGCTCAAGAGGCTATTAATGAACATATGAAAAAAGCACCAATCAGTATTGATATGCAAAATCTTACAACTATGATAAATAATTTAATCAATAAAGATCAAAATCAATTACGTCTTGAACTTGAAAGACGAAAAACAATGCTTCGACTAGATGCTGAAGAACATCGACCCGTTGAAAAGTTTTATGTACTAAAGCCAAGACAAACGGAAGTAAGCACACCGGTATCTTACGTAAATTTTCAAAAAAACAACTATCAAATTTTAGATAAATTCGGCAAAGATTATATGGAAGGCTATAAATGAACGAGAAAACATAATCCATGAAATTGCTATATTTAAGAAATGGCTTGCAGTTCATGCACAAGAATCAACATACAGTCTTCATAGTATACAATTACCAAATATCTACCATATATTCATATCACTCAGCTTTCAACAATAAGTATTACCAGCCGAACATATTGCTGAACAAACAATTACGAAAGCCGAAGAAATCGTACAACACTATACCAAAATAGCCACCATTGAAAAAAATAAACTACAATCAACTAAATCACATCATAAAAATGCTGATTTACTCGAACCAATCATCCATGCCATATTTCAACGTGTAAATAATATGCAACAACGTCGTGAAAATGAATTACAAGCAATACTTACAAATATATTCAAGCTAACACCTGTTCAACACATAAATTACCAAATCAAACGCCAACATGACTAAACTACATAAAAAAATTCAAATGTATACATATCTAAAAATTGTTACATACATAAACTTGTACATATATCACATAAATTATGAAATAAATATTTCCCAAAAAAAAAACCTTTCAACATATAATTAAAAAAATTTCATTTCGTTTCAGATGACAATCACAAACCAACTTCAACGAACACATCATTCAAACTCCGAAACACAACAAATCATAAAAACATAGATGATCGCACCATCAATGCACATCAATCATATGGAAACAACAAAGAAACATTGGTAAGCTATCCATACACTACTATCGATCCTCTATCTAATTATCGCTTTCGAACTATATCTACACGACTCATAGCTCGATTTAGAATTTCCATTTTACTTCAACATCCTCTATTCCGGTATTAAGGCCACTTGATAAGTTCGAGTTAGTAACATCTGAAATAATCTAATACTTAGGTTATCGTGGTAACTTCTACACACACCACACCCAGATTTAAATATGATATGCTTGATTTAAGTATAGCAGCTGGTGAAGATAAAGTACGATTCTATAATAAAGTAGCTAAAAAAGAAAAACAAAAATTAATCACCATTACAGATAAGTTAAAGAAAAATAATACAAATTCTGATATGTTCAAGCAATTAATGGAAGCTATTGAAGCACGTGAAAAACATATGATTGAACGAGCTGATTATATTACACAACAAAAATTGAAGTCTTTTTTCGACGAAGCTCCGGCGTCACACGACACTTCAATCAACCAAGCTGGCGTCGGAGCAAATCAAATTTAACTATTCAAAATCAAACAACGATGTTTCTCTCTTTATATTTTGTAAATACTATTATACCGTTGTCAACAAAACAATTATTTATTATCAATAAAGGTTTAAAATATATTCCACCTTGTCAAAGCCGATTCTTTGACAAGAAACATATGAAAAAAATAATTGATCAAGAATACAAACGACTCTATGATGAAACTGGTAAAAATCTTACTAAATATGCGTTTCCAACAGATGATTCACGTGCAACGGAATTTTTTTCTGAATTGAAACATTTACTTGAACAACTTTATGCCAAGCCATTACCTAAAAAACTCAAAGCCAATGCTCGATATATTTATAAAATGATCAAATCAATGCAACGAAAATTACGTAAAGCAAATATTACTGTTGGACAAATCGATAAAAGTAAATTATTTTTCTTTATTGATACACAAGAATATGAAGAAAAAGTTAAAAATTATATGAATAAAACTAATGCTTATCGAGAAATTACGAGGGGTATTTGTCCATTAGCCAATGACTTACATTTAGTAATATTATTACTTGATCATTTACATGAAAGGAAGGAAATTACCGATGAACAGTACAAACAAATGTATCCGAATTTAAAAACATTAGAATTAGCTCATATCTATTTCAATCTTAAAGTACATAAGGTAAAACGTTTGTTATTTGTTTTTTGAGATAATTATTCTATCCTATATGTTTTTTTTTCTTCGTAGCCTGAAATATCAGTTCGACCTATTGTTGCCTCAATCAATGCACTAGCTAGACTAATATCTAGTTTTCTTGATCAACTTCGTACTCCAATTTATAATTATGTAACAAAAGATATTACATTTATTAATAGTATCGGTTTGATTCGAAAATTAAATGAATATCAACAGAAAGGTTATCTTACTTCAACAACATTATTTGTTATATTTGATGTCACTGATTTATATACAATGATACCACGTGATGGTGCTATTGCTGCTTTAAGACAATTTTGTCAAAAATATTCTGTCAATGGCAAAATTAGAAATCTCAAAGTAGAAACAATCATTAAATTAGCATCTATTGTTTTAGGTACAATTTCATTTGCATATAAAAATAAATATTATCGACAAATTAAAGGTGGTGCTATGGGTTCACCATTTACTATGGTTTTAGCCAATATACATATGTTAGAATGGGAACAAAAATTAATGCAACATCAAAATAGACATCATGAAATTTATGGCCGGTAAGTTTAAAATAATTATTTCTCTGTTCTTTTATACTGGTACTTTATTAATATTTTGTATTAGATATATTGACGTTGTATTTATGACTACAAATCTATCAAAAGAAGATATTTTAAAATTATTAGATGAAACTGTCAGAACAGATTCGAACATTAAAATTACTATTACTATCAATCAAGCATTAGAATATCTTGATGCTATTGTGGAAAATAATAATGGACAATTAAGAACCACAATTTATCATAAATCAGCTTGGGAACCTCATATTCTACCTTATAAATCTGATCATCCACGACATATTCATGCCAATATAATTTATACAATGTTAGTTCGAGCAGCACGTCTCTGTTCAACGGTAGAAGATTTTGATATGGAACGATTAAGTACAGAAATGATATTACTAGTGAATGGTTATCCACCAAATTTTATACAACAACATATAAAAAACTTCTTTATTCAACATGATGCTATGAAGGTATGGACTGAATTAAATACTGAAGCATATGAACAACTATACAATACATTACTTTATAAGCCAACACGAAAAGAAAGTAAAACTAAAGTCTAGGCAAATGGTCAACTAATTCATAATAATAGTAATTATGAACATAAAGATCAAATTTATGTTCATTATACATTTGAAAATGGACCATTATTAAACTTCAAAAAAGAATATCGTCAAATATGGGAAAAATTCTATGTTTATCCAGGATCACGTCTCAAAAATACACGACTTATTCTCGGTACAATATTGAATGGTACATTACAAAGTCTTTTGATTCATAAAAAACCAAAACGTGATATGTTGACCATAATGCAACCAAGTACAGAAACAGCACGAAGAACAATCAGCGAAAAACATCCACATGAATAAATACCGTTCTTTTGCTTATACACATTGTACAAAGTGTATCTATTGTATTTCTTCTCTTCTGTCTTAATTGCATTTCCCCACCAAAATTATGATATTGTTCTTGCAAAAGACTTCATTATATCATAAATATTGTATTTCCTCATGTTTCTATGTGTTTTCCATATGTACCATACTTAGACTCTGAGTATTTCTTTCATTTTTCATCTTTCAATCAGTGAAAATCAACTATTACACTATGAATTCGCATCTTCTTGAAGTTCCAGCTTGTTCATTTTTCCCCTTTTCTTTTCTTACATTCAAAACATATAGTTTTATCTAAATACATATATATTACATTGTGTCGTTTATTTTCTAGACATACATGTATTACAAACACACAGCTATGTTTCCGAAAGACAATTTCAACAACATACATGGAGCATACGAGCAATCATTGTGAGTAATTCATATATCTATACAGAAAAATAAAATAAAACTGTCCAAACTAGACCTATGTTATTATTCATATTTCAGGATACATACACCAAACACCATAGCCAATTTGATAATTTACCATAACAACAATCTGATCAAAATCAAAACATCGATTCTGTTATTGACAAACTATTTCGAATGATTTCGTAACAAAAAAATTCATCAACTACAGAGTCGAGCACAATGAATACTTTTCCAACTGAAAATAATTTCATAGATAATCGTAAAACAAATCAAACTGCAGCAAGACCAGCAAGAGCACAAATAAGACGAAAACAACATCACCAACAACAAATTTACCAACACAATTGCACTTCACCCTGGCACCCACTACTATCGAAACACAGGTCTGACTAGCTTTCGATTTTCATTATTTATTTAATAATCAATTTATCAAACACAACCATACACAAACCCCATGTAGGAGAATAATAATTTATTAATATCAAAAAGCAATTGATAAGTATAACATCAGCACTTATCGAAACCGGTCTTGCTAGCTATTTGATAGATTCTTATTTGAATCACTTCTTAAACACACCCACCCACAACCCACACCTCCACAGCCAACAAGTCAAGTGGAGACGAAGCAGCAGTCGATCAAGCATGTTATCTCATTTTCAGAAAAAGTCATTCACGGGTGTATTTCACATATTTCTAATTTATTTAAAGAAGAAGCAAGCAACTAAAAGGACACTATGCTTAAATTAATGTCTATAATTTCTCTCTCTCGATATATCTATTGTACTCTAATCTTATTTGTTGAAATAAAAAAAAAAATATTCAGTTTAAGACGGGTGAAATTTTTTTCGCGCAAACCGTAGTAAAAGTATTTATTTAGGGGGTGGATATGTATCTTCTTGGCGGCCAAACCATGCACATGCATATCCTTTATAAATACCAACACCCAAGGCTTTCATTGGAGCGTCTTTCCAAACACTTTGTTGGACTATAACATCGTTATGATTTGGACTTGCTTTCCACCCATTAAGAGCGGATATTGGCTTAATCGTCGATGTTTTTCTGTTCCCAGTTTTAGCTGCAATTTCGAAGCCGTTAGATTTATAATTACTTATTTCAGATGGTTTACTCCACATTAATGCAGCTTGTGCCCCATCAGGTGTATATTTAACTGGTTTCCACTTTCCTTTATTACTCCAGCTATGCATATTACCACCATTAACATCCGGGTCATTTTCAACGACATCAATAGCATGTTTATGAGCAACATAAGCAAGATTAATAGATGGTTTAATCGCTGGTAAACCTTTTTCTTGACGATATTTATTAATAAGTGTAAATAGTTCTTGTTCTTGTGCATCCATACCATAAAATGAGGACGCTCGTCTTTCATTATCTTTTAATTAGAAGAAAGAAAGTTAAAAGTGATAAAAGTGCAGTTTTATTTAATTAATTGAATGATCCTAGCATAAATGGACTATTTTTCGAAGATACGTTAGGACTTTGTAATAATTATTGTTCTGATGCTTTCAATATACGTACTAACAAATTACGTTTCATCACAAAATTATTTCTATAACATACAAAACTTTATTACCACGTCAATATGTATTAATACTAAATTACTCCTAGAGTGAAGGTTTCGATGATGCATGATGCAATAATAATCAAATCTATCGCAATTCTAATTC